GGGCCGAGAGCGCACAAGTAAGTCCTCTGATGGGATTTCCGCAATAGACACGCCACTAAGGGGCAACGCCTCTAGTTGAATGGGCGCGTACTCCAAAGAGGCATTGCAGGCCCAAGGAAGAGTAGGCTAGCATAATAGCGTCAACCATCCACTTAGAAAGTGTCTGCTTCGTGACCGGATGCCCTTTAGCGCGGCCACCGAAGCAAACAAAGAGCTATTCAGACTGCCTAAACGGGGCGGAACGCTTGATGTAAACTTTCAGCGCCCTGACGGGGCAGAGTAAATTCAACTCCTGGTCCTCTTCTGAGGGAGGAATTGCAGAGAGTGTAATGACCTGTGCCCTGAATGGAGTAGAGAGCACCTTAGGTATATAACCATGCCTCGGTTTCGGCTTCGCGGGATGATGAGTCGGCGCAGACTTGGGGTGACTAGAGGTAGCTGCAGAGCTAGAGCATTTTGGCAGGAAGTGTCGCATGGCTTGGGACGACTATTGTGCCTCCGTGAAACACTGAGCAAAGCCTTCGACCGCTGGCCCGAACAGACCGGTGGGGGAGACCGGAGCATCAAGGAAGGGAACGTTTTCGGCGTCATTGATTTCCGTTAAGGTCAGCCATAAGTGGCACTCGAGCACCACCAGCCTGGCCATGGAACGCCCTATAGCCTGAGCCGTTGCTTTGGTGGTGCGCAAAGCCAAGTCCTTCGCGCTTCTCAGCTCCCTGAGCGTCGCTGGGTCTGGGCCAGACTCGTCTGTGCTGGCAAGGAGTTTGACCTGTAAGACCTGGAGGACCGCCATTGAATGGAGTGCCGAGGCCACTTGCCCAGCCGAGGAGTAGGCGTGTCCAGCGAGGGCTGAAGTCGTTCTACACGGCTTGGATGGATGGGCAGCCTTTGGCTTCCAGCCGATAGCAGTGGGCAGGCAGAGATGCGCGCCCACTGACTCATCAAGCGGATGCAGCTTCTCATACCCCTTATCTTCAGCGCCGTCCACCGAAGTGAGGGTGGTTGAAGCGGAAGTACGGAGACGTGCAGAGTATGGGGCGCGCCAAGACCTGGTGAGCTCGTCATGGACCTCCGGGAAAAAAAGGAGAGGATCGCTGACGAGGGGCTTGACGGCACCCCGGCAGGAACCACTCATCCAGACGGCTGAGGGAGGGCTCCTCCAGTGGAGACCACTCCAATCCCAGCTCCTCGACGGCTTTCGAGAAGACACGGATGAATTCGGCGTCCATCCCGGGCTTAACGTTGCTGGGCTCAGATGACGGCAGGGGGGCAGGGTCGGCAGTCGAGCCCGACAGCTCCTCTGTGTCCGAGGCTGCTAATGACATGCTATCATCCAGCAGCTCGTAATCACTCCCACCGAACGAGACCAGATCGCTCGCACTGACAGAGGGACGCTGGTCAGGCTGGGTGAAGAGGACAGGGGAAGCCTCTCTGTGTGGAGAGAGCGAAGCATGCAGGACTTGAGCCGATGTGAGCTCACTCGCATCCGAGCGCTGCGATCCTCTGCCCCGCTGTTTTTCCTCACAGGCTCCTGGGAGGAAGAAAACGGGAGGGCGCGAGGGGCGGAGTCGCTTTCTGAAAAGAAAGCTATCCGCGAGCGCAGAGAGGCGAGACTCATGTTCTCACAGTGAGAACAATCCGTCTCGGTGAGCGCGGATTCCGCGTGGGATTTCCCCAAGCAGGAAACGCACTCACGGTGGCCTCCATCGACGTGCAGGTCCGCAATAACGGCGCAGCATTTGAAACAACGCCGTGAAAATTTGCTCTTAGAAGTTTGCGTTTTATAAGGCTTGCCGGATGGTGGCAGGGGAAGCTGGACCACTGCTGTGCGGCACTGAAGGCGGCAGGAAAGGCGCCGAATCAGCTGAGCAGAGAGGTCGCTATTCCACTGCGAGACCTGTCAATGGCGAGCAGGCTATTCAGTCAGCGGAGATCAGCGTAGAACATCGTCGTCGCTGAAGGAGAAGAAATCTGAATCCTATGGCGAAGTGCCCGCTTATATAGCCAGATGGCCCCGCCCATTCTGGCGGGCTTTGGCGGGCTTCGTGGCCATAGGTTCGTGCAGCACCGCTGCCGAGCCATTGGTTCATTTTTAAAGTGTACTGCACGAACCAATGGCCGTGCAGTTACACTGCGTTACTGAAAAAGGTTTCAGTTCAAGAGAAAAAATGACTTTTTCCCATAGCATCTTAGCAGACGCAGTACGAGTGAAGTATCGATAGGGAACTACTGATGGTACATTTAAGCATTCATTACAACCTATATTATTAACATTAATATATGTGCTACAGAATAGGATATTTGTAGTTGAATGTTTTTGTAAGAAAAACTGAATATAAACTAAATGAAATTAGATATTGCTTAATTTAAAAATCAATTTTTTTATGAATTAATTTTGCTTACTCCAGTCAAGTATTCAGTGTCATATTATCTTTCAGAAATCATTATGTTAACTTGGTGTTCATGAAACATTTCTTTCTCAATTTTGCTGAGCTTCTTTTTTTTTTCCATGTATTTTTTTCTTTTTTGGGATTCTTTGATGAATAGAAAGTTCAAAAGAACAGAATTTATTTGACAGCCTACTTCACAGTCAATTTTGATCAATTTAATGCATCCTTGCTGAATAACAGTAGTAATTTATTTTTTTTAAAAAAAGAAAAGAAATCTTAGTAACCTCTAACTTTTGAACAGCAGTGTATATTATTCATAATGTAATATACTTTATAAAATAATATTCGTAATATATAATATATAACAAATGTATAAATATAGGTATAATTTAGATCTAGACCTTTCCCTCCTTTTTCCCGTATCAGTTTATTGCTCAGCTGTAACAACAACGCATAATTCTTAAAAGAGTTTTTACTGGAAACAAGTGGCTTCATCTTGTTTACGACATGATTTATGTTTAAGTCTGCCAAATGCGCTTTGTTTTGTCAACATAAACATCAATTAACCCTGTGAATTCCTGACCCTGCTTACAGGATTAAGCATTACAACCCCACAACATTTTGAATGCAAATACCTCTCATTCCTGTGAAGAGTCGTTTTATAAAACTAGAAAAGCCAAGAGTAAAAAGCACTATCAAAGTTGCTTTCATAACAAACAACAACCTGAAATCGAGCAATAAAGATAATAAAATAAACATAAAAATAAACAGCGGAGTACAAAATGTTACAACAGCCAGAAATAAATAACCTGGAGAATAAAATAGTTTAACAAACAGTCCAGATGCATAATATCCAAGAGGAACCTTGAATAAGGTTATAGATAATATAGATATAGACCCATCGGAGACCAGCAGCTTAATGGTCACTTGCCCTTTGACACATCAGGTGACAACATGCTTTCACCATAACAGCATATCACTACTTTTGTGTTGAGTAAACACAGTTTGAAAGCTATACCGAGTCACAACAAAGACAGGGAGAGAAAGGTTTATGTGGGTGATATGGAGTCCTTTACACAGGAGATGTGGGGGCTTCTAATACAGGCTTTGTTGATGGACTCAAGCTCGACACTGTCCTACACATACCTCAATTGTTGCCCAAATCTGGTTAAGTCCATTTCCTGTTCAGCCACAATTTGTGGAATGTTGGGCCATGGTCCTACTATAGTCTGCATCCGCAACTGGGTGACAGCGTGTTTGTAAATTATTTTACAAACGGAATACTTCAACCCAAACTGGCTTCTACTTTGAAACAACTGACTACTAAACTGATTAAGACACACTTTAACAAACTATATAATTTACCCATTTAAATACATATGTTACAGCTGCATTCTTACAGAACGAAATGGCATAACTTAACCCACTCATATTGTTGTTTGGTATTTCTGTCATAAAATAACTCACTGGTTCAGACATCATGTTCTGATTGCTCAGGGCACCGAGTGAAAATTACAAGCCAGAATGATTATTTAGTGCCTGTTGAAAGGAATGATTCCCTAAACAGCAATCATAAAACACAGCTTTGTTGCTCTTGTTGTAAAATAAAAACTTGGGTTATATGTAAGTCTAAGTTAGCAGTGGATATGGCCTTTTCCTGAACTCTGCTCCAGAGATCAATGTTATATCTGAGCCAGAGACCGTCTGCATCACTGATGGTGAAGTTTAATTCACTCTTCTTGAATTGTCTTCATTGAACCCCACACCTCAGAGAGAACAGATCATCAACAGGTACCATTACAACATTTTACATTACATCCAATAATAATATTAATAATATTAATAGAATATTAATGGAGTCTGTTTTGTATGTTACTTTAGAGCAATGCTTAAAATCTTTACTGACACAAGCCACCCCCCAAAGCCCTGGGGGAAAATTTTCTCTGCAAGGATTTATAAAAACTTTCATTAGCTAAATATTAACTAACATTACCACAGTATAACATGCTAAACAGATAATTAGTTTAAACAGATAATTAGTGAAGCAGTTAGAAATTTGTCATTTATAAATAATACGAAAATTATTTTGAAATGCTTTACTTACAAATTTAGTGTACGTTCACTATTTAATATAGTGATTACATGTAAATAAAGAACAAATACCAGTGGTAACAAAGCGATAAATAGTAACGCTGGGATAATTTTTCGATGTTTTATTCGACGTGCAGCCAGTTGGAGCGGCGTACTGTTGCTATGGTTACCTCGTCAGGAGAATGTGACTTCTGTTTGCAAGCGACTGTAACTTTCTAACTTTGGTTCAGTGATTACTGAAAGTTTGAAAATGCTGTTGAAACGAATATTTACACATAATGAAGATATGATTTTATTATAATAACTATATTATTCAAAAAGCAAGAACATTATCTATAACTTTACCACTTTTATACTCCCCACCTCTTATACAGGTGAATTCTTCAACAATTAAACAACGCAACTGTATATAACTTTATGTTTTTTAAAGTCTTCAAGCATACTTGTATTATTATATAGCTGAATTCCTCAACAACTGAAGGTGTAGCTTTAAAAAATAATGCAATGTATACAACTTACCTTTTTTAAACTCCTCGAGCATGGCATCCAGCTTTGTATCATTGAAGACAAAATGCAGAGGGTGGCTGTAGAACTTGGTGATGGTTTTCAACGGCGTGCAATCGTCTGGATCCACAAAGGCCAAGTCCTTGACAAACAGCAAGTCCACAATATGACATCTCTCGCCCTCACACACAGGTATTCGCGTGTAGCCGCTCTCCATGATCTCAGACATGGTGTTGAAGTCCAGGATGGCATCAGCGGCAATCATGAAGCAGTCTCGCAAAGGCGTCATGACATCCTCCACAGTTTTAGTCCTGAGCTCCAGAGCGCCCTGGATGATGTTGAGCTCCTCTTTCACCAGGTCATTATACGGATCTGTCACCCTGAGCATCTCCAGAAGCTTCTCCCTGTTGTACACAGTGCCGATCTCCTGCCCCAGCACGTGGTCCAGGAGTTTACTGACGGGATATGATGCAGGGAAAGTGAGGATCATAAAGAATTTCCCCCAAAGCCCTGGGGGGGAAAATTTTCTCTGCAAGGATTTATAAAAACTTTCATTAGCTAAATATTAACTAACATTACCACAGTATAACATGCTAAACAGATAATTAGTTTAAACAGATAATTAGTGAAGCAGTTAGAAATTTGTCATTTATAAATAATACGAAAATTATTTTGAAATGCTTTACTTACAAATTTAGTGTACGTTCACTATTTAATATAGTGATTACATGTAAATAAAGAACAAATACCAGTGGTAACAAAGCGATAAATAGTAACGCTGGGATAATTTTTCGATGTTTTATTCGACGTGCAGCCAGTTGGAGCGGCGTACTGTTGCTATGGTTACCTCGTCAGGAGAATGTGACTTCTGTTTGCAAGCGACTGTAACTTTCTAACTTTGGTTCAGTGATTACTGAAAGTTTGAAAATGCTGTTGAAACGAATATTTACACATAATGAAGATATGATTTTATTATAATAACTATATTATTCAAAAAGCAAGAACATTATCTATAACTTTACCACTTTTATACTCCCCACCTCTTATACAGGTGAATTCTTCAACAATTAAACAACGCAACTGTATATAACTTTATGTTTTTTAAAGTCTTCAAGCATACTTGTATTATTATATAGCTGAATTCCTCAACAACTGAAGGTGTAGCTTTAAAAAATAATGCAATGTATACAACTTACCTTTTTTAAACTCCTCGAGCATGGCATCCAGCTTTGTATCATTGAAGACAAAATGCAGAGGGTGGCTGTAGAACTTGGTGATGGTTTTCAACGGCGTGCAGTCATCTGGATCCACAAAGGCCAAGTCCTTGACAAACAGCAAGTCCACAATATGACATCTCTCGCCCTCACACACAGGTATTCGCGTGTAGCCGCTCTCCATGATCTCAGACATGGTGTTGAAGTCCAGGATGGCATCAGCGGCAATCATGAAGCAGTCTCGCAAAGGCGTCATGACATCCTCCACAGTTTTAGTCCTGAGCTCCAGAGCGCCCTGGATGATGTTGAGCTCCTCTTTCACCAGGTCATTATACGGATCTGTCACCCTGAGCATCTCCAGAAGCTTCTCCCTGTTGTACACAGTGCCGATCTCCTGCCCCAGCACGTGGTCCAGGAGTTTACTGACGGGATATGATGCAGGGAAAGTGAGGATCATAAAGAATTTAGTCAGGAGTATAGTGTTTGCGCCCACGGCGAGCCCATGCCTGGAGCAGATTGCTTGTGGCACGATTTCCCCAAAAATCACGATCCCTATAGTGGACACCACTACAGCGATCAGCCCTGATCCTGCGATGTCATCGAGCAGGATAGTCAAAGTGGTATTGACCAAGACATTTCCCAGTAGCAAAGAGCACAGAAGGTAGTTTCCTTGGCTTCGAACTGGCTCGATCTTCTTCGCGTAATTCTTCTCCTTCTCAGTCCCGCAGTTCTGGACAATCCGGAGCTCCATGGGATCCAGCGCCATCAGTCCCAGATTCAGCCCGCTGAACATGCCAGACAAACCCAACAACATGGCAATAAAAATCACCTGCAGCCAGAAAGGCAGCAGGAACTTCTTCTCCTCCACCACGATCACTTTAGTGTCATGCCCCTCGTGATAGATCCAGGTGCTCTCGGACCACGCGTCCTGCGTGCCAGGTGTGGCGGTGGCAATGCACAGGTAATACACTTTGCTCTTCTCAGTTTTTCGCAGAGGTTTCACCTCTATTTCAATAATCCCAGATGTCTTTCTGTTTACCTCCACGTTGGGAAGGATGATGATATCGGAGGATCGGATGCCGCAGGGATGCGAGGCAGGTGCGTCTCTGAGGCTCTGGCTCTCCGCAGATGCGCTGCCGATGCTGTGTTCCGTAAAGGCGAGTTTGGACCACGTCTCGTTGTTGATGTTTTGCCCATAGACCCTTAACCTGACACGAGAGCGCTCGCTGACGCGCAAAAAGCCTCTGTCCATAAACGACACCTCGTCGGTGTCCTCGAGCCGGAGGCCAATGATGACAGTTTCTTCTGGCGCGTCTTTGCCATCAATGCTACTGATCAGACAACTGCTGACAATTAAGAATATAACAGTCAATGAGCTAGCCCGGTTCAGCGCCGCCATATTAGAAGTGGGCACTGCGGTCCATTGCTCTGCCATGTTGACAATGGGCAAACTTTAGACAATGCATGTAGGATGCCACGGTCAGAGGGAATCCGCGTCCGCCTTCATCCTCTCTATAGCAGTCCTGACATCAAGCAACAAGGCCGACATTACTCACCGCGTATTGCTGCCTCTCTGCACCACGATGACACACCAGCACGCTCTATGTGAACTACTGTGAGTACGGATGCCTAATGACGGACGGTCATTCTGACCAATCCGGTCGCGTATGCAAACTAAGACCACTGGCATCCAATGAAATCTCGCGGAATGTCGGAGGGGAGGCGGTGCTATCCATAGATGTACATATCTGTACATGCATATCTATGGTGCTATCGGGTTTAAACGCGGTAGTGGGTGTATCCAAAGACCAATCAAAATGAGCGGTACCTAAAAGGTGGGAGTGGTCACCGACGGCCAAAGGTATGTCACCATTGAAACTACTGGCCGATACATTGCATTAACGTATTGAAATTTCGGGGTTAATTCTGAAAACTGAGAAAAACAGTATGACGAATGTAGTGGGGTAAATGATACACAAGGAAATGCATAATAAAATTACGACACACAGATTAAAAAGATTCGCTTTCTATTTGCTTGTAAGCGCGTGTGCGTCTCTCTGCCAGATAAACAAACAAAACGACTTCATTCATGCGTTCGTTACGTCAATTTTCACAAGACGCCCAAAAAGTCTGTTCCTAATTCCTTCATAGAACCACTAAATTTAATGGAAAACCAAATAGTTTGTGATGTTTCAGAAAATCACAAAAAGAGGAAAATTTGTATACTAATATAGATTATGACTTATGATGATATTAAAATTATAATGATTTTAAATTGCCCTTATTTTGTCACCTTTTGGAGAGACAAAACGATTTTAATAAAACATTATATTTAGAACTATCTATATAATATACATAATGAGATAATAATAATTCATTCACAAAATAAAAAAAGTCTTTGACTAAGAGAAGACTAAACTGAACCCTAAAACAGTAAAAAGGTAAAGGCTTTTTACTCATGCACACACACACACACACACACACGCACACACAGAGAGAGAGAGAGAGAGAGAGTTTAGTGTGCATATTTTTTCCTCTTTCTTGTTCTAAATCATATTGGGAAAATTGTTTGTATTTGTCTGTATTTCTATTAGCTCATATAAGAAGGCAGTAGGTGATCAATGTGAATGTATACAAAATAATATATATAAACATATTATAGTCCTTGCATGATTGCATCCAGTCACTAAAGCCTATAAACCTGTAATCTTCCCCGACAATTTATTTGCTCTATGGAAATGTGTTTTACCTATAGAGGGAGCCAAAACACTGACAATAATACATTGACTACTTTCCTCCTTTTTCAAAATCAATACCACTTGTAAATAACTGACATAGTCGAACTGAGCAATATAAAATTGAAACAAGATGATTTTGCAGATCTGAAAAGCAAAAGACCATTACAACCATTAGCTCTGTAAATATTTCTATGTGCTTTATTATACATTATATGCACACAGTGGTGCATATATTGTATCATAAAGCAAACTACAAATGTCTTTTTTGCATAGATTCATAAATTAAATAATAAGGATATACAAGCTAAAATGGCATATTTTTTACTGGGGGGGGGGTTCATTATGTGAGAAAGCACACAATGTTGCTTTGAGCGATTGCTGTGAACATTCCACATAGTTTATTTATACCCACAACCTATTTTGTATATATTAAGTTATAAGACATCATCCTTTTGAAAAACCTCCTAATGATTAACTCAAGACTTGGTTTTACACAAGCTCTTGGCAGATTGCAAGACTTCATTATTATAGACCTTGAGTACTGATAAGTTAAACTGGGGAGGTACAGAACATTCTTTCCAATTCAAGGTCTCCCATGATCCTGTGAATGGGCAGATGTGCCTAGTGCAAGACCTTTTACCAAGAACTTAAAGTTAATCTTTCTTATTTATTAGCTGTTGACATTGCATAACTAATATTTTTCTCAGAATTTTCTTTCTTTTATTATTCATTATTTTATATAAAAAAAAAATATATATATATATATATATACCATCCAATGTATTGCAACGTTGAAACTATACGTTGATGCTCATTGTTATATTTTGACTGTAACGTAAAAAAATATAGTCTGTATTCTGCACAAGTCTTGCAGACACAAGTCAAAACTTAGTTGAAGTGAATAGTTATGCTCAAGGCCTTGCTCTAGGTCTAGGACATCCATCTGCTTGCCCTTGCAGAGAAGCTGCTGATATTGCATGTGGGATAAACTTTGTCACGTATCCCTGTGTTGGACTTTCAACAAAGGACACGTTTCATTCATTTGCTTTTCCACATACATTTAATAAAGTTGCTCCAAGCTTAAACCTAAAAAATGAACTAGCAAAATGTGCAGAAACAATTCTGTGTGACATTTTATACAAATATATTCAAGTAAATTTGGCACAACACCACCATAAAAAAGACAAATAAATTAACAAGAAAATACAATTTGTACATTTGGTGTGCAGTGAATTGGGAAATTTTGACTACGCAAGATCTAAAAGACTAAAAGCAAATGTTCTTACACAAACTTAGGCTTAAAAGATGAGACAAAAACAGTATATTGTTTTGACATTGCACTATCATTTCAAAAAGACAAATATGAATACTGGAAACAATCTCCCACAGAAAAGCCTTCATTTGAAGGTCTTATGCATGTTTTTCACGACCACCCATAATCAGGTGTTAGAGAATAGGAGGATGTCGGCCTGTGCCTTTTTTTTTTAACTAGCAATCTGCTATGCAATAAGCCATCATCTGCAGTCTCAAAAAGTGATGTGATCTACTGTTAAAAATCAATGAAAAACTAGAGTATGTGATATCCACAGCATGTTATTAGAAGGGCTCCATTATTTCATCAAGTGTTTGAGCTGGTCCTGCAGGTTTTTGGAGTGTTCTACACTGTGAATACATTACAGATGAAGAGTTAACAAATGTTTAGAGAAATTCACAAAAAAAAAAACTATTAAACAAAACTATTTAAATAATTTGAATGACCTAAATTTAATGACTTACTTCTTTTGAATGGCCTCTTGCCTGGATTTAAAAGATAAAGAAATATATCAGATTTCAGTTTTGTTTTATTTAGTCTAAACTATGAAATAACACAAATTAAAGTATGGGAATTATGCAGTGACCAAAAAAGGTTAAAGTCAAGTCAAGTCAAGTTTATTTATATAGCGCTTTATACAATACAAATGAAAAAAGTTTATTTGTAAAGTAACTCAAACAAAGGCACAATTTTTATTAATATACAAAATTAAATTACAAAAACAGAAAACCTTTAAGGTTTAAGGTTATGAGGTATATGAGTGTTTCCTTTGACTAGTACTGTACAAGATGTTAATGTAGATAAATGCAGTATATATGTATACTTGTCTACTTACTGATACTGCAAGTGGGTTGTTATAATAGACATCTTCCGTAGACTCTGCAAGAATAAAGATACTTGGAGAAGTTACATCTGCTTTATTAAACATTAAATAGCCAACTGTATCATATTCGATAAATGGAATTCTAAGGCCTCTAAATTATCAACATGATCAAAGCTACTGAAAAATCAGTTGTACACAATCTACTACCTGCCTTCTGTCCTCTGACTGATAGTTCATGCTTTAATATTAATATAGTATAAGCAACTTAATCGGTTTACTTGATTATCAATACACTATATTTAAAAATCATATTAAAATCTAAAAAGCATATCAATGCATTGCATTATTAGCACCCCACAGTAAAAACTAGAGCTTTGATCATAAAACTAAAGATTTGAATAGCATCAAGAAATATTACTGGGAGATATAAAGTGACAACTATTATTTATATGCATTTGATGTAGTCTGTTATACTGTTATATCTTATAAAGAAAATCATTTTGCCTTTATATCACTTACATCTTCAGAATGCAGAATTGCATCTTCTTGAATTACCATATTTCTTGCTGCCTGACTGAGTAGCTGTAAAGTAGAAGAGACCACTGTTAATTTTATGAGATAACTGCATTCATCTTTATCTTAAAACCTAGTGAAACGCCTGTCTGTACACAGCATGTCTGGACAACATATGATGGCAAATATTTGGGCATATGAATCCCAGGATATACTAAGTTTTGAGGCTTGCATCCGGTGTGTATTACAGTGCACAGCATAAATAAGTACACCCCCTCTGATTAAATATAAAAGATGTATTTTCTTAATGATCACTAATATAATTCATAGAAAGATGGCAAAATTGAAATGTATTAAACATATTCTTAATAAAAACAGAGAAATACATGCCATTAATATCTGTAAAATAAGAAACTTAGCCAATTTTTGTTTAAATGAAGGATTGCATTTAGTAACTTTCAGGAGGGTGTACTCATTTTTGTAACACAACATCTGATCACTTTGATAAGAAAATTGTATTTTCTTGAATAATTTTTAACATTCTTCTTTGGTAACTGATCAAGCAGACTTGCTGGAATATTATATCTCTAAAAAACCATAACATGTCTTCTAAGCAAAGAGTAATTGCTGAATTTGTTAAGTTTCAGAGGGGGTGTACTCATTTATGCTGTGCACTGTACTATGAAGAGGAAACAGATAGCCGGGCAAATATCTCGCCTTATATATATATCAATATAACGTTTCGAATATTTACTTCTTGGCTCCTGGATCCTTTCAACACTTGACGGGTTAGAGCGATCACATCTCCACTGCAAGAAGTGACTTTATCAGACAATAAACCTTTAACAGATTGACCAAAGCGAGGCTGCGTCTCGGAGGAAGCCATCACTGTTTACTACGGCACCAGGCGAGGGACAATTTCAAACATGAACGCGAATGACACAGACGAGAGGATGGGGAAGATGTTTAGTTAGGCTACTTAGATAACTTTATCTAATTTATCTTTATCTAACTTCATCTTTATCTTAGATAACATAACTTTAAGTAACTTAGTTACTTGGTAAAATACATTAACAAAGCACTTAAGTGAAGTCAAGTCATGTTAAGTCACAGTTTATTTTAGCACATTTCATATTCATTACATTTTTGTTACGTGATTGCACAGTATCTTGTGTATACTATCCTCAGTTTTATTCTTAACTGTTTTAATTCATTTTAAATATATATATTTTTTA